AACGCTGAGTTCCACGGACGAGCGGCGCACTAGAACTACCGGAAGTATTCTGGGGCGGCGATAAGCCCTGTGAAGGAACTTTCGGGGAAGTCCCAGGTTTATTTGTAGCACGGCTATGGTAACCAGAGGCCACAACTAGAACATTCGATGCGTCGTTCCAATTGTAGCGAACGTTGTCGACAAATACATGGTCATACACTATTTTAACTGAGGAACCATTATTGCGGAAAGTGGAGGTCGCGTCCCATAAATTCTTGCGGATAGATCGCACTCTAAAAGAGTAATCTTCTGAAATGCTGAAATCGGAGCCTTTAAGATGTTTGGCTTTCTTCAAGAGAGCCATCTTGTCATTAAAATTTAGGAGTTTCAATATGATCGGACGCGCCAGCCTTTCACGTGGTTTGCCTAATCTATGTATGCGCTCTACGCGTGGCATTTCCATTTTCATTTTCTGCGTGACGAGTACAGACACACTAGACAGTATAGATTCGCCATTCTCGCCAGCGTCCTCTGGAAACCCGCGTAAGATAATATTATTTCGCCTGGATTGATTTTCGAGCTCGTCTATTTTGAGGCTGAGCTGTGCAAGTGTTTTACTCGCCGAGGCACCTTCAGCGCGTAAGGCTTCGCACGCAGTTTTCCCCTCGCAGACAGCTGTCACAGACTCGAGTGCCGCCACCCGTGATTCCAGCGCGTCGAATCTTGCGTTGAATTGTGTTTTTATGTTTGCTATATCGCTAGCAATTTGATTTTGGATTGTGAGTATCTGAGAAAGCACAGATAAAACGGTAGTGTTTTCGGGCTCGTTTTGCGTAGCATGGGCTGACGGAGTAGGCAGTGTAACCGCCTCCGAAGATGTATTTGAAGTTGTCCTAGATCGCGTCGCGGGGCCATCTGAGTCTTTGAAAGGTTTATTTTTAGAACCAGGGCCAGGATTTAGTTCGACGTCACCACTAAGAATCAGGCGGCAAATATTATACAATGCATGCGAATATAGCGACACAACACCAGGTGGGCAAGTGAGCAGCAGCAAGAAACGATCGTCATTCATTACAGAACATGTTCTGTAATGAATTAGTACCAACTCGCTCGCCTCTCTGTTTCGCTTCACTGTATGCCAATAGTTGTCCGATCATATAACAACTCTGATGATGTGAAGTAGTCAATATCCGAGTCACTGTTCATCGGCCACAGGCATCTTGCGTTCGTGCAACTTCATCAGGAGATCCTGCTGGAGTATTCACCGTGAAGACTTCTGGCACTTCCGCAGCATCCACCGTGATTTCTCGTGCATCGAAATGACTCTGCAGCTCGAGTTGCACGGTTCGGTATCAGTAGGTTCAGGAACGTATAAAATCACCAAAGGTTAGCACAGACAGGTCGGTGCGGTGGGAATGTACAGAGTCTCGTAAACAAGTCACGTTGTATAAAGGTCCTTTGGCTGCCAGTGTCAAGCAGTGTACAAACGACTACGGGATTGTGCCTTCCCGACGCCATTACTTTGGCCATTTGCATGAGAACCGCAGGCGATGGTGGCACAGAACTGCTTGCGCGTATACACTGGTGACCACTGGCACACCGTCAGTTTTCGTTGTGTTGCTGCTGCTGGGATCCGTGCGGTTTTCCAGTTTCCATACCTTGCAAAGAATAGAAAGATGAGGCTTCGCGCAGTGCTTGCACTTAAGCCACGCGGCGTCGCGGCACTGTCGTGTGACATGTCGAGCGCCATAATTGTTTTTACCGAGAATTAAGAAGAGTATACTATGGTGTTCCCAAAGGAGATTTGGCAAAGGTATTCAACCTGCTCTGGTAATTGTTCTTCCTCTTTCTCCGTAGTCAGCAGTGACTCGGCTCAAGCCACGCATTCCCCATCCTAGGCGTCTGCCACATGCTGAGGCCCTTGACACAAAATCGCGCCTCCAGAGCGCTACAGCGAAAAAAATATACCACCCCTTCTTTGGGTATCTGAGTTCTTCTCGATTAGCTGCATCCGAATCTTGTCGGCTGTCGTGGTCGTCGGGCAGTCCTTTGCAGTGTGCTCACGGTGGCCGCATAGTACGCAGCAGGCATGGCCGTTCGTCGCAGATCCGGCGGCTCGCGCTATAGTGCTGAGGGTACGGCGGTTGAAAGTGAAAATGACTTCGTTGGTGTCCAGCGGGGATGGATTTTCGTGGGCACCTTCAACGGGAGGTCTCTTCTCTGCTCTGAATATGGGTCTGAAGATACTTCATCAGATAACGTACCTTTTCCTGACGTGACTTTGGAGTAGACCAGTCGTTCGCCTTGGTCTCCTTCATGCGTTGCCGGTACAGAACAGCGATGTCATCGGGTAGCGATGGTATGAGCACACGCTGAAGTAAAACCGTGCACTTCTATGCTCGAACTCCGACGCTATTTACACAGATGGAGCGAAAGCGTATTTCTTCGTAAAGTTCACACAGCTGCAATATGTTGGAGCAATGGCCCACTGTAGCAATGGCAAACAAGCCGTTGATGTGTTCGTTTACAAGGGCTTTATTACGATCAAATCTCTCTTGCTGCATCTTGACAGCTACCGCGTAGTTTGCTTGCTCCAGTAGAACACTCTCGATCACACGTTTAGCTGGTCCGGTCACATACGACCTCAAATAACTGAACTTCTCAATGTCCGAAAGTTCATGATTGTTTGGAATCGTAACCTCAAAATGCTCCGAGAACCCCTGGTACTCGCGAGGTGCCCCAGAGAGAACGAGTACCTGTAACTTAGGTAGGGCAACTCGAAGCGGCGATCGGGAACTTCTTTGAGCGCAGACTCCTTGGGGCTCGGTTGAGGTAGTGACGACAGGTGCAGGGCTGTCAGCGGGCCTTGAAGCTGAGTTCAGAAGGTAGTGGACACGACTCATAGTAATCATCATACTCGGCGTCATACTCATCGTCATACTCGTCGTCATACTCGTCGTCATACTCGTCGTCATACTCGTCGTCATACTCGTCGTCATACTCGGCGTCGTCGGTTGCGAGGACAGTAATCTTTTTGCTGAAACCTGCAAGTGTCGTGTATTTGTCATGGAGGTCATCCAACAGGACTTGCAGTTCGGCCGGAGAAGGATTCACCGCTTGCAGAGCTTCGGTAGTGGACGTGGTGAGCCTTGTAGCGGCGGCTCAAACTATTCCTCTGCTGCGTCGCTGGAGGTCCGTCTTCAGGGAAGGACGTGAGTGTTCTCCCGGGTTTCATGGCACCAAACTATGCAGAGAACATAGAGATTAACGTGTGTTCGGTAACGGTTTATTGATGGAACGCGACTTATTGCTTCTTCTCCTCTAGTGGCTCTGACTAAGCACGCATCACACACGCCCTGAGCCACATAGTTCTATTAAGATTTTAGCACAAAATTTTCCCAACGTCTGCACGGCTTGGTGCCCTTTATAGTTTTGGTGTTCTTGGTTGCTACACCACGCTGCACCATATTGTTGACCAAGGCTCCAGAGCTAATAATTTCCTGGCTGGTTGGTAACTTGTTCCTCAATGACTTGGAGCAACCCACTGCAGCGGATTGGCTGTAATACGGGCGATACCTCATTTTATGCAAAATATTGTTTAAATCCCAATATATTTAGCAATAGATTGTTCAAAAAGAGACGCTCTGACAGTTCACGTTTTCAAAAATAAACAATAAATTAACAAATAGGAAAATCAACAAGCTAATAAGATGGAACAGTGAAATTGTTTCCACAGTTACCATCATATTCGTTTTGTCTGTCGTAAAAAACGAACTCGGCTTCGGAACCATTCCTGTGGCTGAAAGACATTTCAGTTGCACCAAAGAGAAGCATCAACGCAAGGCATAAATTCAAGCCACTTCAAAGTGGGTAATCTAGCAATCGCTTACTTTGATTTGTGAACCACCTGCCCGTTGGAAAGAGCTCATGCAGCGATTCGCTCTTTTTGAAGTGGAGGCATAAGAGTGCTGAAGCAGAATCGCGAGTTGGGCGAGTTGGTTGATGTTCATCGTGGAATATTTCACAGCGCAACGGGTTAGATACGGAAAGAGAAGGAACGCAGCGCTGTGTCCCTTCTCTGTCCGTATTAAACCCGCCGCGCTGTAAAATATTCCTCGATGGGCATAAGGGTGCCTGTACCATGCCACACCTGTGTAGGTAAAAGTTTCGGGCGGGGGGGTGGGGGGTGGGGGTGAATTTAGCATCAGAACATGATAATTATTCTTTCTGCCCTTCTAGTGGAGCGCCAACATTGTTTTTAACTGGAATTAAGAATACGATACTCAAGTGTTCCCAAAGGAGATTTGGCAAACGTATCCGACGTGCTCTGCTAATTGCTCTCCCTCTTTCTCCGTAGTCAGCAGTGACTCGGCACAAGCCACGCATTCCCCATCCTATAGGCCTCTGCCACACGCTGAGGCACTTGACACGAAATCGCGCTACCAGAGTGCTATAGCGAAAAACTGTACTACCTGTAATACTTCACATAAAACCTGAACATATTACTATTTGCTCTCGAACACTGTGTCCGGGTGTCTAACATGCAGTTAGAGTCCTCTTTAGATAACTTAATAACTGAAGGCCGTGATTTATATGCTGAATTTAGATTTTTCGTATTTCCAGCGTCATGGATTATTACGAACATTTTTGCTCGATTTTATTTCGTTGTTATATTGTCGCAATAATAATCAGCTTTTGCTCCGTGGCGTCTTGGCATGTTTGGTGTCGCACTGTTTGGATTGAGAACGTGGGATTGGTTGCGCCCTATGAGGCCGCGTTTTGATAGGATGAAATTCAACAAGCACTCTCTTGTATTTGTAGTAGCGCAATACAGAGCCCCAGACACGCAAACGCAATCAAGAGTACTCCAGTATTCAAGCCATATAGGTAGATCTTAGTGATGACCACAATAACGACAATTCACAAGCTGTCTGCGTAGCGCTATATTAAGGATTTATTTGGCCCAAAAGCATTTCGTGCCTACTAGATGTGCCCATTATTTGACAACTACGCCAACTTACCGATAAGTGGTGGCTGAATCATCAGGGACACGCCGGTGCAGAACGAAAGTCCTCCCATCATCACAGGCAGAGTACTCATGCCGAAGTCCATGATCATGGCGGGTGCTTTCAGACACAATCTCGAACCGCTGGTGACGCCCAAGAAAACGGAAACGGCGATCATCGGTGCCAGTGTTCCGGCCCAAGCAAACCATTCAAAGGCCAGTCCTTGCAATGCAAAACCTATCAGCATCACAGACTCCAGGGACAAGGTGTGCGTATCGATGGCGAGGCCCACGACGGCTCTGCAAGCGATGTCCGCGATGGAAAAAGCCTGGAGCACGTACACAGAGTCCGAGGGTTCCATCCCCCTGTCTCTGGCCAGGTCAGCTGGTATCATACAGAACACGTTCGCTGTAAGGGTGACGGTTGCGAAAGAGAGTCCGTGAATGAGGAACGTTAACGTTAGAAACTGCCTCGCTGTAGCGCCACAGTAGACACGCCGGGGCACCCTACCGATTTCAAGCTTTTTGAGTGACCCGCTGGTTTTCTGATGAAGAGCAGTTGACTCATTTTGCTGGGATTGATGTGCGGGCCCTTTCGGGTGATCACTGGTTGAAGAGCCATCATGTAGGTCAGATTCGTCATGCGCCAACCTCGCTGTTCTGACGTGGTCTTCAGCTTCACCAATCAGCACAAACGTCGCTTTTGTTTGGTCCTTCTCGGCCCCATATGATGCATTTGTCGTTTTTCTCATTGGTTTCAAAAGCCAAACCGGGCTCCTCAGGATGATGACGGAGGGTATGGCGTGTAGCATAACAGCACCGTACAGGAGAAACGCTGCCCGGATGCCGTACTCAGTACGAAAATATTCGACGAGAGGAGGAATGATGACAGTGTTGAGTCCGCACACCGTAAGAACAAGGCTAATGGCCGTCGCTCGTCGCTTCTCAAAATGCTGAGCCAACAATACGGTGGAAGCAACGTACAATCCGCAGAGAGCGCATCCTGAAAAAAAAAGAAAGGCGGTTGAGCGTCAGAAAAGCGTAATGTCACGGAAAGCATTTATTAAATCAACAACAGAGGACAATGCAATTAATATCAACGTCGTGTTTGCGCCTTCTTGTTATATTGGAGCTCGCTTATAGCAAAGGTTCTTTAAGATGCCATTACTCCCTTCTGTTGTTTACTGTGAACGCACGCATATATCATTCACAGAGCGAATAGGAAATTCATTATCGTATTCTGAGAACTCCACTTATCCTGCTTGCTTATAGTCACCCGTCAGTGATGTGAGCGATTCAACTGTATTGATGAGTTTTAATAAGATATACTAATGTATCAGGACTTGCCTAGTGCATAAAAGAATGCATTGCTGGGCTTGTCGGTTCATAACCTCAGAACTTCGAAGAGCGAAATTGACGAGGACAAAAAAAAAAACACAGGTACACAGGACACAGTGCTCTGTCCTGCCTATTTGTGTTCTTTCCGGTCCTGATCTATTTCACGCTTGCAGGTATAAAGTTGCCGAACACTTTAAACGTTATGCAGCTGGTCTAAATTTTCAGAGCCCTCCACTACGGCACTTCTGAATGTTTTCGGGACGTTAAGCCACACATATCAATCAATAGCTTTACATTCTGTCGTTTAGGACAGCGCTTTCTAAGTGTATGGAAGCGTCTTGTACGTGCAGAGTAACATAGATCTGCTGTGCCGAGCTTTTTTGGGGTAGTAATTGTGCGTATTCCTCTGCATTTCTCCATGCCGATTAACATGCACAAGTCTACACGCACGCTGGAAGTTCATGAGCCTTACATAAAATTATGATGTTGTTCTCCAAACTGCAGCATAAGATTGCATATTACGCCGGGGGCCTACAGTGGGTCGTTCTTCTAGTTCACTAAAACTTAGAGCCTATAAAGTTATAGTTCGTCCTTCTCTTGAATGTGCCAGCATTGTGTGGGACTCCCACACAGCTGGTAATATACAGAAAATAGAAAAAATACAACGATTAGCTGCTCGATTTATATACAACCGGTATAGATGTCGCGATTCGCCGTCAGCCCTGTTGCAGGATGCGAACCTCCAACTTTTGGCCGATCGAAGGAAAACTGCACGGCTTAACTTTTCCCGCCTTTTATACTTTTCCAGATCAGGATTACATGCACCAGATTACATAACACAGGACACAACCAGGGCTTCACGTCATAAACATAGTCGTAGCATTACACCTATATTTGCACGCACTAACATTTACAAGTACTCATTTTTCCCGAGAACTGTCTCTGATTGGAATGCTCTGCCCCATGATTCCCATATGCTCAACACGCCGAGATGAAACTATACCCTTTTCTTGTCGCTTAAGTCTGCTTCTTTGCCTGTATTTGTCCCTTGTTTTTCACGAATTTTCAATGTACATGAATTTTGTTCTGCAATGAATGTATACTGCAGCGGAAGTGTATGTATGTAGAAGAATTTTGAACTGTATTGCCCTCTCCTGCATGGACCATACTTGGTCCGCAGTATGTGATAAATAAATAAATAAAATAAACTTTGCAGGTCAACCGTTAGTGAGCAAAAAAAAAACTATCTCCACCACGAGCATTCGCAGGCGCCTTCGTCTTCATCTTTCTGTCTGTGTCCTGCTACACTCCCAGAATATTTTCGCCAATTGGTCTAGTGTAGGATGCAATAAATCTGACAAGCGAGAGAATGAGGCAGAGCGAGAGAGATATAAAGAGATAGAAAGAAAAGAGAAGAAGAAAGATAAGAAAGTAAAGAAAAGGCAGAGAGCCAATTAGACATGAAGAGAACAATATACGTAGGAACAGAGAGAAAGAAAGAAATGAAAAAAAATATCCAGCTATTGCAGTTCATTTTGGAGCTGGATATATCGGAGCCCAGGCGTGCCAAAAAAAAATCATCCAACTGAAACTGTGTACAAACACTACTGCCTATGGTTTTTTCAATATAAACATGTGAACTCACCACAGCCAGTAAAAAGTTAATTATTAAATTTTAATTGATTGGGGTGCTGATACAGATAATTATAATATAGCTTTCTGTCCACCAGGCTGCATAACTTATTTGCACAAGTAGTTCTCACGTGCCTTTGAGCGCCTAATTTACAAAAAAAATAATAAACTTAACTTTCATCACCCGGTATATAAAACACATGTGTCTCTGCAGCATGTATGTGTGTGCAGAACATTAATGCAGACCTTTGACGTCTTTTCGTAAAGTTTTCTCAATTACCGCACAGTCACCTTTTTTCAGCGTGCTTCGCATAACGTCCATTCGCAATGTACATAAGATCTGAGGAATTTTTATTTTTAATTTATGCATACACTTACAGCATGTGGTCAAAACCAAATGTTCGTAGACTTCATGCAATGAAAAAACAGTGCTGCGTATCATATGGAGAAAGCTTAGCATGAACAGTATTGAATTGCAGTTATCTCAAGAGCAAGACTGTCCGACGCATTGCAGCTGTAAGTGTCATGTAAAACTGATAGAAAGTCACGTAATTTTTGTGGGCACAGTCGAAAAACTAATGCCTGTTTCACAAAGCCGTCAAATGTCTCACTGTGAGACTGTCCCGGCACCATTTCGTTTCATGGGAACGAATTCGGTAATTTTCGGCTAAAAAACAGGTTGTCGACGATGTAGAGCGGTGCTTTACGCTGTCGTCGCAGGTACAGTGATGGAGCTTCGTCTCTATTTAATGCTTCAATCGTATGTATTCACTCAGTACAATGCGGGCACATGTTCCACAATGAAATTTGGTGCGAAGCACCTTAGAGGTTGGGCTTGTCGGTGTCTTCTGTCGTCAGGGTGTCTTGCAGTCATGGCGGGCCATAAAAACGGGTATGCCCAATGATAGGTAAATTGCACCACTTGCTGCCAGTCTGCTAATTATGAAGTGGGCAATAGTTAGACAACCAAATAACAGACGATGATTTTGAAGCAGAAACAACTTTTCCTTTGTGGCGTAGGGGAACTTATGGGGGCATGTAGGGAACGAGAAAAAAACACTTTAAAGTAACTTTTAGTCCAGCGCTGTTTTCTGGTGACTTAAGTGGAGCACAAGCATCTTTCCCTACATTTCCAGTTTCCGGCTTGGCACTAGTGGCCCATCAAGAAATTACTTTGTAAGACTGCACTCTTGGCCACTCCCAAGGTTTCCTCTTAGTGGTGATGAAACATCCTCCCATACAAGACTCGCCCACCTCGAGCTTTTTTTTTTCTTTGTTGCCGTCTTCAGGAGGCCGTCACTCTCAAGATTGAAAGACAGTGTAATCATCATAGACCGGCCAGCATTTTGAAAACAGACACGGGAGTTGTGATGAGTAAAAAAAAAAAACACCAATGTTCGAGCACGCGAAAGCGAGGTACAAGAGAAATACGAAAGGGAGTAGAACAGCCGACCCGTAGCAAGAATTTTCTTTTTGTCTTATTCCTTTAAAATGACGCAGTCTAAAGCCTGAGAACGAGAAGTGCGTCTCCGTGGGTCTTCACTGCCGTTGGCTTGAACTTCTTACGGACGCTGCTAATGACACCGTGATCGTGGACCCGAATGGCCCTCCTGCAGCTGCGCACACCTATAATGCTACCATTCGAGGACGGCATCCAGGCATTCTCGATGACTCACGGCCTGGCTTTCCCCGGCCCCAGGCCCCGCCGCGGTGGTCTAGTGGCTAAGGTACTCGGCTGCTGACCCGCAGGGCGCGGGTTCGAATCCCGGCTGCGGCGGCTGCATTTCCGATGGAGGCGGAAATGTTGTAGGCCCGTGTGCTCAGATTTGGGTGCACGTTAAAGAACCCCAGGTGGTATAAATTTCCGGAGCCCTCCACTACGGCGTCTCTCATAATCATATAGTGGTTTTGGGACGTTAAACCCCACATATCAATCAATCAATCAATCAATTCCCCGGCCCCAGCAAGACAGTGCATTATCCACCATTGTCCGCGAACGCCATTCACGCTACCTGCTGTGACAACGCCTCGCTCAGTACTCCATCGGCACCTCAGACGCTTAGGCGTGCTGTCCAAGCTCCCTCAGCTAAAGATACCATAAGAGTGAATACGCCAACCGAGGACTACTCTTTGTCTTTGAACGTCATCACTGGCTATGCATGCAGATCGCCTGAAGGTGCCGCCAAGCTTTCCCGCATCGTCGCGCGATTGCGCCTCACGGTAAACGCTTTGACAGCGTCGACCTCTACCCTCTTTCCTGTGGCATTGCCAGGGCTTTAGATGATCCTTGCCGCAACGGCCACGTCTGCTTCCCAAGACTATGAACAGACCTTACCAGAGAGCCACAAAAAGTTTCAGTATACCCTCACAGAGCTTTCATACAAAGTCAGCTTGTTTGCGTCGACGTGCGCTGGCGTTGCAGCAGCCGTATCCTCATCACTCGCTGCCTTCGAACTCACACACTTTCGCTGATTGCAGGAAGACGCTGACAATTGGGTAGCTACAAGCAACGCTCTCGTAGCTCGTAAGGCATGGACTTTTATAAGAAGCAAAAATGGTGCATGGCCTTACATCACCTCCGGAATGCTGCCGTGGCGTGGCGCGTGAATGAACGCGAGAAGCAGCAGTGCTGGGCAGACCGGAAAACTAAGGTCATCACTGCCTTTGGACGAATTGACACGACCCTCACTGCCACCGTGTATTCTTCGCTGCTCCTGAAGACAGGGCTCTAGAGAAGAACCATCTCGAGGCTTGTCACTGCACAGTGTAGCTTATTAACGAAAACATTTTCAATCCTACGAACAGTGGGCTCGAGTAGTGCTTTGACACTGCTCTGATGTCCTACGTACGACCAACAAGACAAGAGGCCGGGGCTTCATTTACTCTACAGGAGTTGCTACTGCATGCTCCGAGCGCATCTTTTCTTGCTGACCTTGACGTGAACGCCGGCTCCCCTCATACTCGGCACGCTGTCCCTCTAGACGCTGGTTAAAGCCGTATCCATGCTTATAAGCGACAACCATGTGAAAGATGCTGGTACACACTTGTCTGTGTTAGTGAAAGCTGTTTTTATGAAAGCAAAAGAACCACTGTACTTAACGGCTGACCATCAACGTTCTTCAGATGAACGAATGAACCAGAAAGGGTATTGTGTGTCCCACACTCAGGAGTTCGGCGAGAAGGATTTCTTGTACAAGGACAAGCGCCTTTTCGCTATTCCCTTTTCCTGGTGACTGAATAGCGATCGAAATGAAAGTTGTGATGGGCCTTGCAACACCGGCTGTCCAAGAGTCGGATAGATCGCTCCGAGAACCATCAGGCTTCGAAGAAAACGAAGGGAGCGAGCGCACCATTGATAGTGTGAGGTGGACTAAAGAAAAAAAAACCAGCTTCCCCAAATCTGGGGAAGGCTCCTCATGAATGTCCTGACCGTCTTTTTGGTGCTGACAATCATATGGGTTAAATCAAAAAGAACAGAGAGCTTGCCGACCATGGTGACATCTCGGATGCTGTTCCGGTATCCTCACTTGAGCATGCAGCATCCGCTGTTGCCCACGCAACAAAGCCAAAGACGGCCGCCAGAACCATGTGTCGCAGCTCACCAGAAATCGCCGTGTGGCCGACACCGACCACTGCAATTTAGCCAGGGTCGCACTCACCCAGCAAATCTACTTACGGCAGGTTCATCAGCCAATTCGCAGCGTGTCCTAGAACGACCACCACGATACAGAAAAAGCCGCCTACCAGAGAGCTTAACGACGTGAAGTCATAACCAAATGTGATGGCTCCGGAAAATGCAGATGTTCGGGTTTGCGGGCAAGTAGAACAAGATGGAAGAAAAAGACGAAGCAGAATAGAACAGCCAGCCCTCAGCAAGAGTGCTGCTTCTGTCTCTTTCGTTTACAGAGCCAACGTGAAGAGTATACTTAATTTTGGTCTGTCAGGATAAAAGGAACATGATGTTGATAACTACACAGTTTATTCGTAGTTTACGCAAACATTACACAGAAAAGAAGCCATTCAACTCGTTTATTGCATAATACGGGTTTCGTATTTGTAGGTTAATTAGAATATGGGTGCGGTGAGTCAGCAGGGCAAAAACACGTGTAGCGGTCGTTGCTACTACCACCATCGCCTTTTCAATGATCCGTTGTTCATGGTATAAATTTTAAAGTCGAAGTTCCTCTTAGTCTAACCTTGTCATGCACGTAACCGAGAGAAGAAGAGGCAAGCGACAAAAGAAGTATCTCCCGAACATTATAATAGACGGCGCTGTCTCATAGAAGTACATAGAAACTCCAGTTGGTGGGGATATTCTAGGTGGCGCTGTACTGCTACTCTACGTACATTGGCCGTTGCGCGGGCCGTGCCTGGACGGATGGATGGATGACGGATGGATCGACGAACACTTCACCTCACTTGTCATGCACTCACTTCGTGGATAAAAGCGATTTTTTTCGTTGCTTTTTTGACGTGGTGGTGTCGAGACAAAACATTCGCTGTCTGTGTGAATGACGCTTTAGACAACGACTACCAGTCAGCATCTTCGCGTTGTTAAACTAGTCTTAAACAGTCACCACACACTTGTTATTCATTCGAAACAAAACGTTGCATTGTGGCATAAGGGGGCAAAAAAAAAAAACAAGATGGTATATGAAGAATGTCCAAAGTACTGATTTAACATTCTGTGAACTTAAAAGAGCAAACAATGAAAACGAAAATGGTTGAGGCTAAACTTTTCTAAATAAAGCCTTCAATTGTTAGATTGTGCAACTAGTTTCTGAAGATTTTGTACAATTTCAAATCCGTACTATGAATTGTAAATGTTTACCTTGTACGACCCCGAAGGAAATGGTTATAAAGATAAGGTCTCCCGCCAGGTAACACAAGCCGGCTCCTATTCCTGCCAGCGATGAGCAGGTTAGCAGAACGGCTCTGCAGGAATAACGGTCGCACAACTTGCCAGCTATCGGACCTGTGTCACGAGAAAAAAGGACATGCTTTAAGTGTGCCGGTTGAATCATTGGACCGCTTTACCTTAGTTTGCCTAAGTTTTAGGCTTAATTCTGAACTTGTTGCGCGCATACGCTCTAAGAAAAGATCGGGAGTATGGTGCTCGCTATGTTTGCGAGCTGGAACGTTGCAACGAATGCGGATCCATGGCGCTGATGCCTCAGGGTGTCACATAGAGAGGTGTCCGGAAAGATAGAGCCATATAGCAACGGCACAAGGTGGCAGCAGGCTAAATAAGGAATTTGAAAAGCCAAACGTGCCAGGCGCTCGAGCCTGTCCCACCGTAGCTGCTACGTAAAACAACGGCACGAATGCAATGAAGCAAAGCAAGCGGCACCCAGCTGACGTTTGTCTATGAGCGTCCTTACCATGTCAGGCAAATGGACAGTACCGTCCTTTATGCAAGGGAACTCGCGAGCGCGACGCCTTCATCACCCATTGGAAGACCAGAACGAGAGCGTAATATAGCAGCGCTTTACCCACAGCCATGGCTCATTACCCTGTTTACAAATGGATGATGCCAAAAGCAGGCACGGTTTGGTACATGGCACTGTAAATAGACGCCGTAGAGCGCGGGCCACGCTTTCCTGTGTTCCGTTCTGTAAAGCATGAAGAGGACATGAGTGGCCACCTGATATGGCGGGACCCGCATGCGTACCGCTGCTTCAGCGGTGCCGTTTCTCGATATCACGGTCCGCGTTAGCAGACGACGCGTCCGTGAATTCTGCCACGCAGTCCTGTGGTCCCTGTAGTTTCGATCGCACCTACACATTAGCGTAAAGAGAGTATGTGGGAGTTTGTGACTACATTTAAAGAAATAAAAGGGTGCGCATAGGGCATTTGTCCGCACCACCGCAATAACCGTCATCTATACCGCATGCCTTCCTTGCGTTGTCTCGATTCTTCCCGTACTATCTCGTAAAAAATGGTGTTGACTCTATCAACGCCGCTTGGCTATATTTGTACAAACTCTTTTTCAGGTCTTAATTAAATGCGGGCTAAAATACATGAAAGCAGACAAAAAATGTCTGGTTTCCTGGATAGTACTCTAGGCGTGACGAGATTAAGGGTACAGGAAAGTAGCGACTGCATTTTATTGAAGGTATACAGGAAACTCAAGCGCAGAGATGGCGATTACAGCTGCGTGATTAAAACACAACCGACGTCATGCAAACCACTTCTAGAATGTAGATGGAGTACTCACTGTATAAATAAAGCGCAATATAGTAACCATGAGTGTTGAAGTTTAACGTCCCGAACCAACTATATGATAATGAGGGACGCTGTAGAGGAGGGTCACGAAAATTTAGACCTCTTGGGCTTCTCTAAAGTGCACGTAAATGTGTACATGGGCTTACAGCATTTTCCTTCTGTCTAAATTGCACCGCGGCGATGGGTACCGATCTCGCAACTTTCGGATCAGCAGAGAATTCGTAGTTTTGTACATCGCGTAACGGTAACGCGAATATTACGGATGTGAGCGTCTATGCACACGTGCAGCTATCATTTTCAAGTACGCTATTGGTGAATAACCCGTAAATGAGTACAGAAAGAACAGGTGAATACGCACCTGCTAACGCCATTAACGTGGATGCCAGGGACACCGGCCACGAAGCTTCTTCTCTCGTGACCATGAAAGTCTCAACGATGCCATAGAAAAAGATTCCCGCCACGCGGGGCGTCGCCAGCGCTATAAATAGTACGCAGCAGCAGGCGAAGGCGCTGATCCAGCTCCAGCGGGAGTCGGCTCCAAAGCGTGGATCATCCTTCAGAGTACGCGCACTTACCATAGCTATGGGCAAAACGACTAAGCACCGCTATTTCGAATAAAAAACTATCTTCGAGTTTGACGTCTTTCAGTCAGCCCCACAGACAGTCCGAAGAGTACGGTGTCGCTGCCTGTCGTCCACGTGGACACAGTCATCCTAACACGAAGTCGTCCTAACACGCTGCAGCTCCGCTGTGTCCAAGCGTGTGCAAAAACTTTGCGAAAGTGCACTCAGGTTGTTCTTGCTGAGTTTATCACTTTTGTTGCGACCTGCGGACAATGCTCACAACCTATTCCGCAGCCCTGCAAAACATAGATAGCCGGCTTGTATAGTGAGGTCATATATGTTTGTAGTTTACTTCTTGGGCTGCACTGAAGTGAGTGTAAGGACGGGGACGCACATGCAAAATCTGCTCGACCAGTCGGTGGACGATAAGGCGGGCACACTCTCACGAAATGTCGACGGGGATGTTACGCCCTCTTTTCGTTGGTTGCTTGTTCGAAAAAAAAGGATTATTCGGCACAATAATAATAAGACAAAAGAAGTGAACGCTGATGACCTTACCGGGCCAAATGATTCAGGGAAGTCAATATTACGCATAAAAAAAAAACTAGCGCATACTCACGCATCATCGTTTGAATTGAAGGGACATCTATACTATGTATTACAGACTCGTGTATTAAGTTACAAACGCAGGACAAAAATCCTAAAACAATTGTCTTATTTGTAGTTGTATTTCTTGTAAGCTTTGGGGTTTTGGCGCATGATAGTGATATATATATATATATATATATATATATATATATATATATATATATATATATATATATATATATAATGAGATTGAGTTAAAGGCAGGGATGGATGTTAACTAGAAGAAAATTTCCGATTTGCTACCTTGCACTGCAGAAAGGGAAATGGGCATGCAAAGAATCATATTTATCTTTCTCTTAGGTACAGCGTAGACTATACCAGTTACTATAATCTATAATTTAAACCACTCTCAACCAATACAGACAATAGTGAACAATTGCTTGTCACTATGCCCTGAAGAAATGATTCCGAACTGAGGCCGTGAAACAACGAGGCAAAGGGCAACCTCGAAATGCATCCAGTGTCTAGGTGGTTCGAACGCTTGCGCTCGACTTTTTATCTAACATCCTGAGTAAATCGTGACCTGGAGTCTGAGCTGAGCTTTTTAGGCCTGAAATCTTCATTCTTGCGCAGCTCGACGCTTGCGCTCGGGAAACCTCATTGACCAGGAAATATTCACGATGTGCGTAGTGTCGTGTTCGGTCGCCTCGCTTTTACTAACGTTTCGTTTACCCCATAACCTCGGGCACGTGGTGGCGACTACATGATTACCACATCCTTGAACGTTCATTTCACATGACATGTAGCTCTGCATCGCTCACTTGTGGCTGTTTCTCAGAGCCACGCATGCAAATTGGTACTTAATTTTGAACTTTACGCAAAATTCCTTCCCGAAGGTATCACATGCTGGGCACTATATCTTCTTTACACGCACACGACCTTGTTGTCCTGGCCATTGATGTGGCACGGCCGGCTTAAGGTGACACTCGGCAATCTGTCTCACTTTATGACCCGTTCAATGATACGATTGCCTCGAACGTGTCTCCTTCTGAAATCCAGGACACACGCCTTTTGTTGGCGTCATACCGCGATGTTTTTGATTGGACTTTGCCTCAGCTGGGCCAACCATCTCTGGTTAACCACGGTATGAATATGGGGATGCAAAACCAATTTGTCGACGTCCTTGCCGTGTCACAGTGACTGAGCATAGTGTGGTTTAAATGGAAGTCGACAAGATGCCCGCTAAAGACATCACCAGTCATCTTTGAATCCTTGGGAAACGTTGTGCTTCCCGTAAAGAAAAAAAAAGACAACAGGTGATTTCACGGCGATGGTCAGCACCTCAAGAATATCAGCAAAAAAGACGTTCACCCTTTGCTGCGAATAACTGAAGCCATTGGTTAGCTTCCAGGCGCACGGTACTTGTCTTTCATAGACTTTCGTATTGGTTATTAGTCCATTGCTGTCGATTAAAGCAATAGCTTTATTGAGTCCATGTATTCACGCAAGTTTTTGACATGGATGTGGTAAAAAATGCCTTTGAGGCGAAAGAGACTGTCGAGCTTTACGCTGGCCTCACAAACTAAATGTTTTCCAGTTCGAAAAACTTGCAGCTGTCGTAATAACCCTTAAGCAGTAAACGTCTCCGAAAAGACTTTTTTTTCCGAGAATGAAGTCTATGAAAGCAACCTCGTACTACGTGCAGAGTTGTTGATATCACCTAACAATAAACATCTGCACGAGCTTCACAGTGTGTGGGTGAACGGTACTGATGTAGATATTCACGAGTCGATCAAAAATGTTTAGCACCCAAAATATCCATATCGGAGTTTGTGTTGTATTTCGATGTAACCTGGGCATTTCTAAATTGCCACATCGTCACATGCGAGGCGGAAAACGGTTATAATACAAATTCCAGGATTGTTCATTGTTGCGAATTCGGAACGTGCTCTGTTTAGCTGTGAAGAGAAAACAATTTCTCTCTAAATTCATTGCCTCCTGCTTTACTTTGCGGTCTCCGACATGTTGGCTTCATGAAATGTGGACCTCCGCCTTAAAATTTCACCGTACGTTGTTCTGGAGCCTGAAGCACAAGTGCGTTTTGGTCAGTTTAAGCTGAATCCGTTCTTGTTTACTCACTTGAGCACCTTACTCAAAGCAAGCCAAACATACCGCTCCCACATTGCCGGATTAGAAGAATTGAAACATATCTACACATAATACATATACCTATAATGGAACCTATTACGTGGTATACACAGATGCAAGGAGTTCATTTTGATAATAAAAAAGTAAAACTGCACGGGGAAACAACCCTAGGAGCAAATGTTCTGGACAAAACATTTCTCACTAGGACACAGAATGCGCTATTGGACCAATTACTTTCGAATATGGTCAACACACCACTCGTGCATATAAGCCTGAAACGCGTATGAGCAAGTACTCCAAAGTGCCACGTTGCATCGCAGGTTCTTTGCATGTCAGAAAAATAACGAAAGAAAAGACCGCAAATAGAGAAATATATCACAAATTTGTGCTTCAATCAGACTTTGTGGCCTGCTATGGTCAACCACCAGAAATATGCTCTGATAGGGGGGAAGGGGTTTGCTTCTGTCAGGAAAGTGTGGCAGCCACTTGTTTATCAACTTTTTGAATATATTGCAGACACATAGCGTTTGCGCTAACGCCTGTAACTTAAAACAGAACATGGGTTCTTGAACTCTGTCAGCATTGGTAAATGACGGCCTCTTTCCAAGCTATGGAGATCTCACTTGGACGCGATATTGTCACATGCGATTCTGATATTCACTTTTGTTTCATCCGGCTTTCGCCCACAAAGCCTGTCAGGAATGCACCACGCAAGCTGCGCCTCATTGTTCGAGAAGGTTTGCAATTATTGTAGATCACTCTGTTCAAATTCCGCGCAAGACGAGAACACTCGAGGTTAGTCGAGAGCTTACGCGGCAATCAGGTATAAGGCTGGAATATTCAACGGCACATGTATAAATGCCAATGCGCTTAGCCGCTCGTCAGTTGATCGACGGCCATTTCTGTTCGCCGCTATCAGTGCCTGTGTGTATCGCAGTAATCTGGCTTCCGGTTTTCCGGCCGCATGTTTGGCGTAATAAACAGTTTCATCTAGGACACACAGCCCGCCACCTTCGTCCGCTACACGACCCCATGACATCTGGTGGAGGTGCGGCCCAGTCCATGTACCTTACGCCCCCTTCAAGCCGTGAGCCAAGCCCACATTGCGAAGAAGATACATACATCCTGAATGACAGCCTAGCGAGCCGTAAACTAAAAGGAGTACCCAGCCCCGTCGCACCCCCCCCCCCTCAATACGGACAGCCACCGGGCAACCTAAAGGTCACGGTGACCACAACAGGCACGATGACCAATGCTGAGTCCCTGGTAGCGATAGTAATGCAGCGGCCAACGGAGCCGCCGATATTTTTTGGTTCACCATGCAAAGATCCTGAAACATGGATCGAGACGTTTTAAAAGGTCTTAACGGTTTGCAACTGGAACGTCGAGGACAAGCTAGGTCACGTGTACTTCTAGCTTGGAGAAGCAGTTAGGACGTGGATCAAGTATAGGGAGTCCACTCTTCGGCCTCGGGACCTCTTTCGAAGCAAATTCCTAGAGACGTTCGCAAGCGTCATCCGAAAGGAAAATACAGTGACATTGCTAGTGAAGAGGGTACACCTCCCGAACAAAAATGTGAGCATTTTCTTGGAAGTAATGACACCACTGTGCCGTCATTCAGTTCCTGACATACCTGAGGAGAAGAAAGCCCGCTCTTTTATGCAAGGGGTCAAGCGAGAACTCTTTGCTGAATTGATGCGAAACCCCCTAATGACCGTCCATGAATTCCTGTCGGAAGCGACAGCGATCGAGAAGACACTGCAAGTTGGCGAACGATGCAAGGCAGACTTTTTATTCATGCTCTCGGCTCCAAAGACCTGCGCAAAACGATACGAGTGATCGTGTGGGAGGAGCTTCGTAAGCTGTTACCCTCATCACAGTCGCAAGTCGACTTGAGATTCGACATCATTCGCAAGAAAAAATCCAGTAGTCAATCTGCACCCCTGAATATCCACAACCCCAGCCATAGATGCAAGCAATGAGCTACGCTGCTGTTGGCCGACGCTGCGCTACCCCTCCATACCGACGTCAAGAGTCTGCACCATCGCAGTTCTGCCGCCAGACACCACCGCCACCACCACCATACCGTCCACCCGTCCTCCAGCACAATGCTCGAACAAGTGACGTGTGGCGTACTCTCGGCCACCGTCCTCTTTGCTACCACTGCAGAGAAGCTGGCCACACCTGCCGCCGCTGCCAGTACTGGCATATCGGGCCACGCGGTTTCGACATGAACGCGCCGTGTCCAAAGCGGGGTGAACGACATCGAGCTATCGCTGACTACCTCACAGGAGCGCAGCAGATACTCCAACTAACTTACCGTTCACTGTCATCATGCCGCTAAATGTCACCGCAACACAACCAGTACACGGACCCTACTCGGGGCCATTACCCAAACCCATGCAGATTCGAAAAACTAAGGGCAGCAACCGATGGAGGTGCGGTTGCTGTAGGACGAACTAGTGAAGATCCTTCGCC